GGTCTCTTGAAGATAATAATAATTAAGATAATAATTTTTCAAAATCTGTTTCTTATTTAGGAATGGTGGCGCCGCAAAGTGGGCAACCCTTCAAGCTTCTAGCCAAGTAGTTTCAAGTTGTCTCCACTAGATGGCACCACCAAATCCACCCTTTGTCCCTCTTGGATCTGTATATCGATCTTTGTCTTTGAGTCGAGGATCGGTGGCGCCATCTATTGGAAGAACCCTCAAACTTCTAGTCGAATGGTTTCGAGCCTTCTCCGCTAGATGGGGGGTGTCATGAAGTGAAAAGAAAACCATCCTCCCTTAAAGCTCAGGACAGACTGATTGCAAGTGCGAAGCGCTCGCCCTTATTAGACAACCCCCACTTTTCGCAGGTGCTCGGCTTCGTTCGGCGCTTTTCGCCACTGCTCGTGGCTACCGGCGCTGATCTCTGCTCCTCCCCACTATTCGATTGCGCACGGAATTGTGCATTGTGCACTCTGCTGCATTGTGCACCGAGTCAGTAGTTAGCGAGGAGGTGAAATAAAAAGGAATCTTTGTTGTTATGAAACATAATTTTAATTAGCAATACATATGGATTTTGTCATTGTATAATTCAACACTTGAATGACACTGAACTATACGATGTCAATGAATTTTACAAATTAAAGGTTTTCAATCGATTCGAGGGTGAAGATCAAAGGGGGTGAAAATGTTGGAAGAGGTTGCAAACATCTGGGCCGTAGGGCTGCATTCGCTTTTCGATACATCCGAATTTACGCCGCTGGTTCCGAATCTATGGGACAAACAATTCTCCAATGTACAACACATAAACGATGCAAAAGTAAAAAAAGCTGATGTCCTCACCGGATACTTAGTCCTATTTTGGGTGATCTTATATCTTATGTATGAAAAGTGCCTTAACGTAAGTGCCATGGTTCCGGTATTTACTGCTTTTACGTTGCTTTATTGCATTCATTAATATACTTATCAACTGTGTTTCTTCTTGGTTAATTTCAAACTGTGCGAATAAAGGGTAACAAGCCTACATTTGATACTTTTGATTTCATTTATTAACACAGTCACTGCTACGCCGTATGCGTATACCATTGATGCAACGGAGTAGAATAATTGAGGCTGTGTGGAATTGTGGATTTTGCTTTGGCAGTATTTGTTATTTAAAATCATCCAATGTCGCAACACTAAATGTCTTCTCTGGAGAACGTAAAGTGACTTACGAAGAGCTGGGAGTGATCCTACATAAAAGCTTTTATTTTCATCGAGCGGGAATAGAGATTTTCTGTAATGGAGCTTGGACAAAGGGCTGGGCAAATTTGCTATTTGCATCGTTCATCATGAACCCTTACGAAGAAAAGTATAATATCCTTCATTTTAATATAACTTTGCTTGATTACTTGTACCGTATTCTTTGTTAAAATACTTGTCATTGTAACATGATGATAGTATTAATTAGTTTTAGACATTACAGTCTATATTTTTAAATATAACTTTTTCCAGATGGTGTACAATTGTAAGCACTTTCCTGTTTTATAAGGCAATTGATACAATTCTTGTAAATTTATGTAGAATTTTGTTATGCGTACCACCATCTGGTGGCAAGAAACAAGCCAAACTATTTTTCTTCGTTCATTGTCTTACCTGGTTAGTATGCTATCATAAAAAGGAATTATTTTCTAAAATTTTACTTAGAGTAAAATTCTTCTTTAAACGTAAATTAGAACTTTGTCTGTTGAATACAATGTTTCAGGACATACCTGTATGTATTCTTTGTGCCCAAATTAATGTTATGGCCAGGGAAGGCCAATTATACACGAGTAGAGCTAGGCTTATGGCTGTGGTTTATTGTAGAGTGTATAGATTCGGTAATATTATTTTCATACAACAGTGTATATTCAAAACAACAATGTATACTATAAATTTAAAAATTTAGGTGTGGTTTAGACTGATTGGATGTGCAAGAGCTATTCATTGGCTTGAGATTTGTTTATTTCCACCTCCAACGTGGGAGGCAATTGAACTAGCAGAAATCCAGAAAAAGCATAGGGATTCTTTAAAGAAAGTTGTTCACAGATCAAAAAAGACTGAACTATGGCAGACTATGCTCTGTGAGTCTACTGTCATGTATTAATTACTTTCTAATACTTTACAAATGATACCAATAATTTATGAATTAAAATGTTAGGTGCAATAGCTATTAAAAAAAAACTTAAAAGGATTCGGCAGGCTAAGCAAAATGAACCTGAATCAATGCTTGATTCAAATGAAATGAACTCATCAGAAACAGATGCAGTGGACGAGGTCAGTAAAGAAGAGAATAATGAATAATGTAACGCGTATAACAAAATTGCAGATTTCTAGATACCGGAAATGGAATGCAAAATTGGATGAATCGTTTATATATAATTCCTACAACAACACTCAAACGAAAGTTGCCTGAATTTACAATCTTTATTTCGAATTTCAATAACTTTATATGTATAGCGTATTGGTATTAGTTTTTAATACAAAAAACGGTAGTCAAAAGTTTTATATATTTACGCCTATGTAGATAAAGAACTCAACCATTCGCATGCTTGTAAGCTAATGGCAAATATAGCAAGCTGAGCGTGTTGTAACACACAAATTTTATAATTGTTATATGCTAATTACAAGCACAGTGACATCAGAATTTTAATTAGCCAAGGTTTTGTGATATGAAATAAGCTTTAACTATAATGCGAACTTTTTGGGCATGTTAGAATTTTTGATAATAAGATAATGGTGTACAACTGATTAACCAAAGAGTCATAATGGATATAATAAGATCTCTGAAATAAGGTATCGCCGGTTGAATGAAAGGAGTAGATCGCAAACGGTTGAACAACTATATGATATATAACAACAAAAATATGATTCAAGTAACACGCTGTTCCTAGATATATAAAGTTTTATTTCCGATCATTCTGGACTGTGTCAATAAAATATAGTACATGTATTTAGGCTGAATTGTTCCACGATGTTATACAGTTTAATGAAAAATATTATAAACGAACGTTGTTCGAATAAAATTGTATTCAATACGCCGACAGCGTACACGCCTCGATAATATATCGTCGTATTTCTAAAAATCGTTAAAACATCGGTTTAGAAACTTATCGTGTAACATGTTGCATTATACAAATGTATAACACAGTTTTCGATCAGACAACAATTAATATTAAAATTACTGAAGCGACCTTAATTTTCATGGCAATGTCTGTATGCAGGGAGAGATCCTATTGCGAATGTTTAAACGCATGTCGTCTTTTGCCGCAATTAAACAGTTACAATTATCATTGTTTCCTTTCTGATACAATACAGGCAGGTCATTTGAAGATGAGTGTCGTACGAAATGATATTGAAAGTGACCTTAACACACCGCTATATCAAATAGAAACCAATATATCTGTCATTTCGTTTCTTAATCGTGAAAGATCTCCGATTTAACTGTTCTAAGTTTTAGACATTGAATGTTCCTTTGTACTATCGAAATACAAGAAGTCTAATAAAATAATAACAAGATACATATCTGACAATAATGAATACGGTACTCGAAGGAAATTCTATACGGCGACACCTGTTTACATTTATTACATTCGACACCCATCTTGAAACAACTTGTATAAAATGAACGCTTTTACCTGTAACATTCGAAGCTGAAGGTAGGTATGTCGATAAAGAGTGACATTACGCTTAAATAATTAACGTTAGTGTCTAAAAATGATCCTTGTCGCAGTCCCGAGAAGGTTTTTAGTCCGTGAAACGGTTACATTGTTTCGCATGGGTTTGATCGTGTTAACGGAAAAAAGTCGTGTAAAAAGTGATGGTACAGAATCGGATCGATGATAAAAGTTTTTAATCATAATGTCGATCGATTGTGCGCTACACAGAACCCGGTTACTTCGCTGCGATGATTATATACTACGATTCTTTGTTTCTTAATACAGCAACACTTCTTTCCCTGAAATGCGTTGTGAATCTGAGTGCTGAATAAGGCCATTTCATGTGAATGACGACCGTTAAAATGTTCAACACCATTTATAAAACCCCACCCTTTTACGGATTCCCTCTCTCTCTCACTCTCTTTCTCTCTCTCTCTCTCTCTCTCTCTCTCTCTCTTGTGAACGTCAGACAACTGTCTCGTTTATTTATGGTTCTCGTAATCGAGCTTATAGACACCACTCACAAAATATCTTGCCATATTGTTTTATCGTGTGTGTAATGGTTATTTATAATATTTATATATGTATATCGTTTAAATTGTTTTAACTTACATTGAGAAACTATCACTGCGTTTACTTCCGTAATAACGTGTAATCAGTTTTTTCCTTTCTTTCCCTCTTTCTCTCTCTCTCTCTTCCCGTTCTCCGGTTGTTTCGTCTCGTTTCCTTCATACGACCTTTTCGCACATTCACGCCGATGGGTCTCACGTTCACTCAAACGGCAAATAAAGGAAAAGAAAAGGAAACCTCTCACGTGTGAAATTCATACCAGTGCAATGGCCGCAACGACCCTTTGTATTCTTCTTCGTCTTCTTCTTCTCTTTTTTCTGAGTTTGTGGTTTGTTCATGTTCAAGGTCACCCATATTGATCCATGAAAGTATTCAAAAACATGCAACGATTTATGCGAACGTAACATTACACATTTGGTTCGTCTATTTTTCATTTTCAAAGTAGTCTCTCCGTGACTGTACGCAAGATTTCGTGAATTTTGTTCTGACCTACACAACCTTATCCAACCGAGTACCTAAGTATATATATATATATTTATATATATTTATATATTTTTCAATACTTTCACAGTCCACTTGTACATGAAACTTGTATTAGTTCTCAGCTAGCCTGTTTCAAGTAAAATCTCTTTATTACAAACGTTAATAACATTAAGGCTCTAAACGATGTACACCGCAGAGTGATTCATTGATCAGACATCTCAGGGCCTAGTGTACAAAAATTTAAGACAATTCTCTACTCCCCGCGGACACCTGTAGCATCTCTGAACGGATCCAGGGTGTCCGCGGCTGCGATCAATTAAAGTATCAACCTGGAAGATGGATCGAAAGGCTCTATTAATTGTCAAATCAATAAACACCAATGAAGAAGAGAAACCTCTCGAATGACGGAACGCTGTTTCGCTTTTTTTTAAGACGTATCGTGGCTACTCACATATACTTAACTAGCAGCTTACCAATCAGACTCTACTTCTTTTTCTCATTTATTTATCGTGTATGTGTATACGTGTGTGTGTACGTATGTACGTGTGAGTGTGTGTGTGTTTTTTTGTTCTTTTCATCGTTTTTCCGCTAATTTCTTTGGCGAGGGCAGCGGCAAATCGAAAACACATGATTCATCTGCCCGTCGAAATTAAATCGTAATTTCGTACCTCAGGAAGACAATAAATTATTCGAACGCGATCGTACAATAAACAATTACGTGTTTCTTTCCTTTTCCCCGTTACACGGCTCGCACTCCTCCCGTTTCCGTCGTGCACGCTGTGTGTAAAGTTTCTAATGAACGTCCACGGTGGTGCTGGAACGAATACGATTACGAAAGTTACCTTATTACGAACATATACGTATATATGAGCAATAAAAGTTGAGTCGGTTAAACTTTCTTAGGCCCACAACCGTTCCATCCCGTTTTGTCCCGTGTGTTCCGCGCCTCCGCGTGGCTGTGGACATTTAGAATTGCATAACCCCAACGAGACAAACGCGTCATCCCCTCAGCACTCGCTTCCCTCACGATTCTTCTCTATTACCCAACCCCCAACACACCCCATCTTTTTTTGTTTCTTTTATTTTGTGAAAATATGGCCCCATTGTTACAGGCTCGATGTAAATTTCGGAAACGGTGATCCGCATTCTGTCTGTTCCTGAGTCTGCAACAGGCTTCGTTGAATTTCATGCCATCCACATCGATCATTGTGATCTTCGTCTCGTCCATGAACTGATTCGTTCTCGCAAAACCATTTCAGACGCTACGTAAATATATCATTTCGGTCCCATTTTTGTCGTTTCCCTTACTCCGTTTGCATTGACCCTTCAAGGTGAACCGAACACGTTAGTTCCCATCCTCGCTCTGTACTTCGATAATTACTATGTTAGTATATTAATATTATAGATTTCACTTTGCTTTGAACGTTGTCTTCCGACTAAAATGCTCGATGACTCCCGATGGCAACCGTTCCCTTGTCCTCTTCGTACGAAGGATCACAATTGCGCCGGCAATGTAACTGGCATAAAATTGAACTCTCTTTAAATCGCTCCGTTATTAATTCTACGTTACGCGCGCGTACGTCGGCCGCCGATTTCGTTCCCTATAATTTTAATACCTTGTTTTTAAACTTTACAATTTCTCTTTTATCCGCGATTATTAACAATAAAACCGTGGAGCTAGAGCGCGGTGTCGCTTCCAGCGTTTTCGTGAGCATGTTTCTTGTTCTATGGGTTCTGGCGACAGCTTGTCGACGGCGAACACCGTACACACGAAAACCATGGGGATACAATGGATGTTTACTATGGAAAAATTTTAAATACAACAAAATCCATATCAATGGAAGCTAATTAAAATCGAGAGTAACATTCTATTTCGTTTCTCTATTCTATAAAAATATGGAGAGATTGAAACAACATAAATTTTCTTAACTGAACCAGTTAAACCATAGATCAAGAAACCCGTTCACCTTCAATCTCCGAAAGATACTATCTGTTTCACTGTCTAGTTTATTCAATTTTCCATCGTGCGGTACAGAGATGCACGGCGAAATTCTCTGGATGTCGTGACAGGCTAACAATCGGTTCCATAGAATGCAAAAGCGGTGATATAAAAATGAATAACGTCAACCAACCGCGATCGTCAAGTAATACAAACAATGTTCTATCTGAAATTGCGCATGACAGGTGAGAGTACCCTGTTTTCTTAACACCCAGAGAATAATAAGTCTCCGTTCCTTATTTCGCATCTCCAGGTTCTGGTTGTCCGTGTGCGTATGCATTGAAAATCCTTGCAATCCGAGCAAGCAGGCCGCGATTAATCGGCCGTTAACCGTTCAATTCACGCGAAAAATCGAAGACTCGTCGAGGCTTCAGTCTTTCAGTCATTAACACCAGGGACGAGAAACCTCCGTTTCGTCTCTTATTGCAAAGTAATCTAAGTACATGTCCACACGTTTCCGTTGAATCACGCGATACCAATGAACAGAGCCTAAACGAATGTTCAAACGACAAACGGAAATTAACGCCCGAACACTGGACTGCGGGTCTTGACGATAGAATGCGATAAAATAAAGAAGCAATAGCAATTAATTCCAGTGATAAATTATGTCACAGATCTTTGCAATTTAGGTGTACGATACATTCACAAGAACATCCGCAGTCTACTGACGCAATTTAACTCGCACTCATACGTTTGATACAGATTCTTACGTGTTCGATACTTTGAACTCATTGAAATAACAGAACGTGTTATTAAAATAAAGAGTAATAAAGCTACACGATATAATTACTCGTAACGAATCGTTCGTCCTAATCCAGATTACTCCAGATTTGTTCTCGGACGACTCGATCGCGAGGAAACTCAAACGGCAGGATTTAGGCTCCACTCGGTACAGTACAACCGCGTGAGAACGATCGGAAACAACGCGTCTGGGTTAATTCTTCGCAAAAGTCCCTGGTCAACGTGAACGCGTCTTATATTTGTTCCTTTGCGCCTTTGCGTACATGTATTAATGTATATATTTATATATGTATGTGTATGTACTGTGTGTACGTGAGCATGCGTTGTACGTGGATGTAACGAAAGAAATTAACAATTGTCCCTCAGAGGCTCGTGACGATGTGTGGCTTGGCAGTGGTGGAGGCGATCTCGGATAGTCGCACGTCAATGGGTATGCGATCGTCGTACAACGTTGGCGCCTGGAGAATGATACCCGCCGTGCCGACGACCACGGCTAGTGTAAAAATCCACAGGAATAGCCTGTCGAGTACCATCGCGACATACTTCCAATCTTCTTTGACCTGGAACACAGGCAGATCGACTAGGTTAGCGGTCACTTACTGGCCAGTTCTGGTCAATAGTGGTTATCGGTCGGCGATGCTCAGCGAGATCATCGGGAACATGGTACTAAGCTGTATTGATTTTGATACTGTGACCTGACGATTTAACATTGATACCTGAATATATAGACTGACTTCGTTAGTCGTTAATTGTGAGATTAATGTATGAGTTGCGAGAGAGTGAATTATTTGCTAGGTGTCTTATAAAAAACCTTCGACTCTAGTCCTATCATCTTTGAACTTAGTGCTAAGCTATATTGATTTTGATACTATGACCTAACGATTTAACAAGGATACTTAAATTTATAGACTATCGACTTCGTTAGTAATTAATTATAAGAGAACGAATTATTTGGTAGACGTCTACTGAAAAAGGTTCGAGCGTACTCTAGTCGAGTCCTCTTCTCTCTTCGTATGGTCGGCAATGAAACGAATGCCTTCGATGGCCCTGTACAGTTCTGGGCAGTGATGCCAATGATGAAGCGTGTTACAGAGAGCGTCCACGCTCTCCTCGGTCGGGAGTTGAGGTGGAGGTGCGGCCGTGGCTGCTGGCGACCCGTGAATGCGGCACGCGCTTCCCAAATTCACCGCTTCCAATTCCCTGAACATTCAAACATTCCTTCGCATTATCATCAAACCAAACTCGCCTCTAAATATACTTATTCTCATCTATCACTGTTTGCTATTTTCACTCGAAATACTTTAACGCAACGTTCTTGACCAGAGATACCGATCCATATCTTTTTTTTCCATAGATATTATTGACCGGTGATGAAAATCGCTTAAAAATTATATCATTATTAAATTTGAAGAAAAGGTTACAGTTCATAGTTTCCTTATAATGATACACCGGTCAACGATGCGTTAAGTGTATCGCGAAACAAAGATCGATTCTAACGAGTTTACACGTAAAGAATTGTGTTCGTTGAAACGAATAGTTTATACGTTGAATACCGAGGGTGTAATTCGTCCCGCGAATCGAGACTCGGGAATAAAACGGAGGATTCAACCAGCTCCGACGCCGATGTTTCCACGAATAAAGATGGGTCCCGTAATTCGAGACCGTTGCACGTCCTGACCATCACGCGTTGCCCGTGATGGCCGGCCATACTACGTTTATCTATCTGGTACTGCGGCCTGTTCAAGAATAAACAAACATACATTACAATCGGCACGGAAGTCAGCGGTAAAAGAGCAGAATATATTCTAGATTTTATTCGAAACAAGAAATTCGCGAAGCGTTTCTCGAAAGTTAACGGTGAAACCATTGTCATGGGTCTGAATTTGGAAGAGAATACCCAGAAATATTCAGTGTCTGGCTGTAAACTTTAAATAATTCTGATTGGGATCTAATCATAAGTAAAAATATATATATATATTATTTATATTATTATTATTATTATTATTATTTATATATATATTTATTTATATACATATTTATACATATATAGATATACTGTTATACTATTTGATCGTAGTCAAGGATAATCGTTACTTTTCGGAACAAATTACGAATTTCAAGCTTATGTGTCTACCTTCTATACTAACGAATCGTATTCCAACGGTTACCAGTGGTGGACTGTATGAAGCGTGTCGGTGACGATTTACTATCGACATCGAAAGTGAAATTTCGGGCAAAGTGCTGTCGATGGCGGTGCTGAACCGTGCAAAATGTTTCGAATGGAACTGTGGAGCTATCGGTGCAGTATTCACGGGATTCCTTTCACCGATCAAAACGAACGATAAGTATCATTTCAATTACACTTGGAAACAATAAATTCCGCTAACCGCGCCGCGGATCTTCATGGAAATCCCCGTTTTCATGGAATCACCGAAAGAAACGTTCAACTACTTTCGTTAATCAAACAGGAATATCAACACGTTCACTGCCAATTTCGCGGCAAAGACAATCGCCGTAACACTATTATCTCCAAAATAACTAAATCTCTATTAGTATTCGACGCATCAGTCCTCTAGTTACAATAGTTCCCGAGGTTCATTCGAAAGTTGTCATCGGCGGCAATCAACGTGTTCAGGTTGCATTTGAAATTTTCATCTTCCCGGTCATTATTCAGCGGTATTTCCCACGAGCTCACGAAGATCCGCGGTCCAACAACGGCGCTCCATAATCTGTACGTGGAGCACTCCGATTGTCGGGTGGTTTACATTCCGAGTGTTCGGTGTTCAATTATCTAACAATCATCGAACACAGGTGTCCGTTCGGTTCAAGTTGAATTTCGTCTAACAAAGTATGTTCTATTCGGGATAGAGAGACAGACCGTGTGTGTGTATGTGAAACAGAGAGAGATAGAGTGAGAGAGTGAGAGAGAGATAGATAGAGAATGTGTGGAGAGGATGGTCGGTGTGCTAATGGTTGCAGAGACGACGTGACGCCTAGCGTCACGTGCGAAGCCACTAATGAACGTTCTAATGCTGGTTGGCATAGGCCCAACGGGGTTCGTCCAAACGCTCGTAGGAATCATATCTTGCCTGGAATCGTAATCGGATCTCTTCGAAGACGTATTATACCTGCGCATCACCAGTAGTCTTGGCAGAACATGGATAAAAACACGACGGACCCACGGCGCCATCACATGCGTCTGTGGCGACCGGAAGTGAACATTGAGGACTACCACGGTTACGCATATACTGAAACGTATATATTTCAACACGTCAGATCTAACCTTCCTTGAACAAACGAATATCAATTCGGTCATAGCAAATACACGTGTTGCCGACCGCCGTGCCCTGCGATGTCGATCCGTTTACTGTCGATGGAGGACCATTCGTCGGACCGTGCACCTGCGTTTACTGCGAAACACCGCGGGAAATCGAATGACTGTGTATGGAAAGATTAACACGTTGACTGTTGAGATAACTGGTAGTTCATTTCATAGGACAACGAATAGTTATCTCGTATTTTAAGAATAATAGAGTGTGATAATCAAATTGGCTTCAGGAACAGCCTTGGCAGTCAACGTGCTAATCGGTAGCCCCGATCAAATCGAAGTATTATAGTTCAGTCAATGAAACGATCGTTATTGGTAAAGATTAGTGCAATAATAAAACGATTCAATAATTTGATGTTACATTGTTTTCATTTTATGCATTTTGCTACGTGAAATCGTGAGGCAAACGTGTTTAACGTTTAGGTTCAAATTCTGTTTGACATCTTAACCACGAGACCGATACGATATTGCAGGGCAGAGGGTCGACGGTTCACCGCGTGCAACCCTTTCAAGACCTAAAGTACACAAAGATTGCTGGTGGTCGCGACAGGGTTTCATCGAAGTCATTTCGAGACGCGTTATTTCGTCGGTCTTGAAAGAGTCGGAAGTACGTTCGACGGATTCGTCGGTTTCCTGTTACGTTCTTCGACGCGAATGCTTTCGCTTGTAATATGTAAACGTCGATAATACCTGAAGGTGTCTAGGATCATGGTGAAAAGGACGAATTTACCGAGAAGCGGTACCACGAGCGATGTGGGCGGGATGATTTCGGCCAGCAGGAGGAAGAACACAGTCAGCGACAGTAAAATCGAAATTGATAGGCTGACCTGTAACCCGTAAAAGTCGATGTTTTAAACTCGCTGGCGTTCGCCGATCGTTGCTGCTTAACCCTTTGACCACGGTAGACTTTGAGAGGCATCATTAACGAATTCCACTTGTATTCCGAATTGTTAGCGTGCATAAGAATTTCACATTAACATTAACGTTTCTCCTAAAATATCTAATAATCTAATACAGCAATATTGTTAAACGATAGACGCCTTTAGTAAACAGTAGTCAAAGTATTAGTAATTATCCTCTGTAAGAAGAATAGGACTTTCAAACGGTCTGAAAGTGATTTTCAGAGTATCCTTTTACTCGATAAGAGCTTCAAAGGATATAAGAAATCGCGCATCTAAAGAAAGAGGCTGTTTAATTATAATATTTCACATATCAACGCATCACACGAGACTTAACTATGGAGCGTAGAGGATTAATTTGATTAATTTCCTATTCATTACTTTAACCCTTTGCGGACGAAGATTCTTCGAAACATACAGAACCTTCAACATACGAAGCTAAATTATATCAATTGCTTAATCGATAGAAAAAAAGAAAACTGATCTCTTGCTGTCCGACTAATTAGGTCATTAGTCCACGACTTAGTCTTCGAAATCTGAACATTTCATCTGATCGAAGTGCCGGTATCCGTCCGCAAAGAATATTAAAGGAAATCTTAGAAACTAGACGAAAATATTAAGCGAAGGGTAAGAAAAGATACGGAGGAAAGAATTAAAGGTTCAAGGGTCAATAGACACCATGTACGTTCAAGATGTGCGTGAGGGTTCAAGCTTTCGCGAGGAACCGATCCGACCGACCGTCTCGAATTACGCGGGACGGAGCGATGTCCGAGCGATAAAACACAGACAACGGAGGGCGGCGTCTGCAAAAACGGGGGAAAGTGGCGCAAAGAAGGCGAAACGATCGAAGGCAATGTACTGATCCGATTTAGAATTTGAAGGGCATGCTCGAGGAGACCGAGCCCACCACAAAGAGACAAAGAAGAGCCCTCGAGGCTAAGTGCGACGAACAAAACGTTCCTTTCATTCCGCCGTGACACGGTATTGTATCGCGAAACGTGTTAAGGTCGTGGCCAATGCTTCTTGTAATATCGTTCGGACCGCTCCGCGCTCGCACTCGCGTCTAATCCTCTCCGAATGGAACGAAACTGCGAAACATCTGGAAACCTTCGACTAGCCTTCGTTTTATATCTAATTAACTTGCGTGTACAGGGTTGCTGTGCACTACCCTTCTCGTTCTCTAAGTCTTCATTTCACAAAAGTAATCGAATTCGAAATAATTCTACAAAGGTCTATTCTACGATCGATCAATTTTATTTCTCGTTTTCTAAGTCTTCATTTCACAAAAGTAACCGAATTCCAAATAATTCTACAAAGGTCTATTCTACGATCGAGCAATTCTATTTACTAAAACGTGTCTACCATTCCCCTCGTCGTTCCCCAAGTTTCCATTTCACAAAAGTAACCGAACAAGCAGACCAATTCTACAAAGATCTACCCTACAACTGACCACTTCTAAACCACGACAGATTCGATAGATATCGGCTTTCCCTATAATACCAACGAACAGCAACGCTACGCGTATTTCGAAGGCTCCAGTCCGATCGTTCCATTCGTAATCGTAAATGTCACGCGTGATCCGACAGACCCGCCCCGTTTCCACAAGATAAACCCAGCGGTAACCCAACGCCGTAAACGAACATCCCCTAAAAGGGAACTTCGCGATACAACCGAAATCTTACGGTACAACCCGCCGTATAACTGAACGATCGTGAATCGCGAGCCTGAGAGTCCAGTCTCGCGGTGTCCGTTTGGGAACGAATGGAAGAATGTGCGAGAGACAAATACTCGGTAATTATAACGTTAATAGATACATGTAAGTATATGTGTCTTGGAATTTAAAATTTCTTATTCTTATTCAATATAATTACATTAGAATAATTATGTGCATACAATAAAATTAAACAAGAAAACAAGTATAGCATGCAGGCTAGTTACTCGACAATTAAAAATAAATATTCCTAAATCTTTAACCTGTTAACTGTGGAACTTAATTTCAGAAATCTCTGATGATGCTCGCAACGAAAGGAAACGACGAAGTGTATATTCGTCTAACGCAGGCCAAATGCACCTATAATACATTCTAACGTAAAGCAGAACGAAGAACAATCGGAAACGAGGGAGCAAAGATAAAGAGAGAGAGAGAAAGCTGGAGAAAACTGTCGAAAAGGGGAGACTCGGCTGCGGATGGCACGCTGACATCTGACCTTCTCGCCCCCGGTTTTTTCTTCGCTCCCCACGACCACTTTACCTTTCGCTCGGCTTTTTCGAGCCAGAACAATACGACTGAATTATAGAGGTGCGCGCGCGAGCGCGAGCGCGGCGTCAAGTGGGTATCGGCTCGAGGTCAAGAGTCCACGAGGAATGGAGGCCGAGCGGTATTTACAGGTCCGCATTCCGCCCGTTGGATTTTGATATTTCACCCTCTCCACCCGGAATCCGTTTCGATCGAACGAATCGGCTTCCCGCGGAATACCGACCGTCCCTGCCTCTGCGCCCCGTCTCCGCGACGTGTCGCCCCACCCTTCGGCCAGTTACCCTTCGTTACGAATACTTCCAGCGAGGTTCAAGCGAGGTTCAAGTAAGCGGGGTTCGAGCGGGAATATTCGTCGATGCTCGACCGATCGGCGTGACGAACGATTTCGGCGAGGCCGCTTCGAAGCGACGATTTTCTTATGTTTTCTGTGTCGCGATTTAACCCTTAACTCGCGGGTTTAACTCTTAGCACTCCTGGTTGTTTTGCAATCTATCAGCAACTAATTTTTATAGTATCCTTAGCGAGAATTATTCGATCTTTTACTTTCCTAGTACAAAATTTGGATATGTGGAAGGTCTAATAATTTTAGGGTAGTTTCTTTAAGATTCATTGAAATACTTATTATTATAACTGGTGCAATATTGGAGCCTATGGAGTTCGAAGGGTTATGGGAACACAGTTGATTAAAACTGAATGATTAACACGTTGAGTGCCGTGGGGTCACCGGTGACGCCGAACTAAATCGATTACTATAGTTCCCTCAATTAAACGATTATTTGAATGTTTCGATATTATAAATAATGCATAAGATAAACGCTTATAATATATTAGTATTATAAATATTAATACCTGATGCGGTGATGTTCAATTAGATGAATATGCAATAATTCAATCCAATCAAATTTGATGTATCTTTTCCATTTTGTGTATTTTGTTCTGTGGAATCGTGCGGCGTTCAACGTGTTAATAATAAAACAAGGTAGTGCTCGCAATAGACTCGCGTATAGTCTCTTCATACTCCCATACTGCCCTGAACTTCCACGCACTTTTAACGTTCACACCTGATCACTTTCTTTCTTTCACACAACCCTTCTCACTTGCACTCTGTCGCTTGCATCCGTAACTGCACAGCATTCGGTCACTGTAGGGTCACTCACGTTAACCAAGTCGGCCTGCGGCTCAAAGGTGAAGAGGGGCAAGGGGTGACGTCCACTCGCGGCGCTCGACCCGATAGTTATGGCGGCTCAGTGTCGGCACGCCTTTCTTATTGGCCGAGCCGCCCCTCCCTACCTCTCTTCACTTTTGAGTCACTGGTCTACCAATTCTCTCAGCGATGAATTCTTGATTTTTTCACATAAACGCGTAACTCTTCTTTGTTTCGCTTTGACCTTTCATTAACCCTTTGCGGTCCGAGGTGCCCTTGGTTTCTCAGTTTGAGGTTCACGTTAGTTCATTCGATTACAGCTTAATAGGACGCTCTATTTATTTATTCAAGAATACTCGAGAGTCATTGAAATGTTACCTTTAAATGGTACAATTGTGATGTTCATTATAACAGTTTATTCCATTGTTTTATTTGAATTCGTTGTGATAAACCGATAATAGAAGTTCACGATTACCAAACGCACGGTGCGCGAGTCTTTTCGGCTGGCTACTCATTACCGTCGTATACCCGGTGTGCGTAATTCGCGTCGGACGGGTCAAGGGACAGAGTTGCTCCCCGAAGGTCGATAAGACACCGTTCGTGCACGTTCTCCATTTTTAAGGGACGAACGGAGTCTCCGAAGATTGAGACGACCGCGCGCGCCGATGTAAATTGTTAATTCTCAAGGTGCAGTATGACCCGCGCCCATGCGACCGTGCCGTTGTAAATTCCCGCGTTTAAGGGATGGGACAACCCGCGAAGATTAGTGGACGATAAATAACTGTAGTCTCCGGTTAGTCGTAATGTTCCGGCGAAGGAATTAAACGGGCTAACGAACCGTTCAAACGATTACGAACGTTTAAAGAAAAATAATGAAGCGGTTAACGCGTTGAATGCCATGGGGGTCACCGGTGACCCAACCAAATCGAATTACTATAGTTCACTCAATTAAACCATGATTATTCGAAGACATTTCTATATTATAAATAATGCTAACTAATGTGGTGACATTCAGCTAGATGAATCTGCAATAATAACAATTTATTATGCAATGTATTATGCAATGTATTTTGTACCATGAAATTGTGCGGCATTCAACGTGTTAACGGGAATTCTCTCGGGACATAGCATTTCTATAGTTCCTATAGGAAAAGATGGAAATATTTGATTTCATGGTGGTCACAGATATTATTCGTGCATGAAAATATGTATTATATGCTTGTAGACAAACGGTTGTCGCGCTGAAATATATCTTATCGATGCAACGATCGATTCGCGATCGATAAGAAATTGGATGTTTCTTATTACACGACTGATAATGTTGAATTCAGTGGAAACTCACCTTCTCGCCACTGTCGCTTGGCAGGTAGAAGACCAACACCGTGAGAAACGAGATACCCATGCACGGTATTATAAGGTTGACGGTGTAAAATAGAGTCTTCCGTCTCATGGTGATGTTGAACGTGATGTCGAGGTAAGGCTCGTCGCAGCACGTGTAAAATTTTTCATTTCTGAAAAATGAAGCACGGCGGAACGGTTCCTGAACGGTCTGCGCGAATCGTTGGTTTAACCCCTTGCGGCACTATTCACTTTCGTGACTGAGCTCGGGTATCATTTTACTATCGACAATTTGGAAGAAATGCAAAATTTTCCATTCTACTTCAAGTGGAAATTTTATTTGGAGGTGATACATTGATAACAGCAAAATAGTTTGCTTTGGACATTGGATGTTAAAATTGGTCTAGAAATCTTCATCACGAGTCTCACTCGTTAAGGGGTTAATGATTTCTTCGTGAACTGTGAACGATCTAGCGACTTTGTTTTTAATAATTTATTGAAAATAAGAGAAAATTTTAGTCTTGTTCTACGTCAACGTGTGCTCTAAGGTATACTCGTCGATAACAGAAAAATAGGTTGTAATTTGCATTCAGACGAATTGAATAATATTTATGTTTGTTAAATTCTATTTGAAATCTTCGCCACAAGGGGTTAACGTCTGCGCGACCAGCGTTCGTTTCACCGGCAATCTCCGTAGAATCTTATAAAATGAAAATCCAGTTCGAGGAGGGACAACACTCGCCAACTATCCGCCGGTTACGCGACGCGTTACGACGTTGGAATAAAACACGCGCGGAACCACGTGAATTTTCATTATGCAAAACACAAAACGTCCAGCGTTGAAAATACGTGACGCTGGCCGCGAGCGCGTTGAAATTCAGTTTACCGCTGTCCGCGCGCGTCCGCTCGCACGCGAGTTTACGAACATTCGTCGAAACGCGGAGCCTGTCTCGCTAATTTCATTACATTTACGTCCTTCTTCTTCTTCTTCTGCTTCTTTCTTTGTTAACAAGCCCGACCCGATGAAAAATACGCCGCGGAAACGAGGAGACGAAGCGCGGCAAAGAGTCAAGTAATTACATTTCTCATAAACTTCATTACGATAATGGTGTGTTTGTTAGGCCACGGGAGAAGAAGCAAATTTACACTTTCCTCGAGGAATTACGATCACATGCTTTTCTTTACCCTCGAATGTTCCCGGTAAATTAAGAATCAAGTGGGACTTCGTTTTGAATGTACCGACTTTGTAAATTGCTGAGAAAAACTGAGAAACAGATTTCGACAGATTCCACGTGGCAGTTGATCGACGAATCAGTTACCGATGTATCGATTCCACGATCGCGACGTTTAAACGGATACGAATCGGTTCGAAGCTGCAGCTACTCACCTCACGGCCGGGACTTCGAGGATGTCCCACTCGACGGAAGTGTAAAACTCTGACAGATCGACGCCGATGTCGACCACGTTGCTGCCGCGGATTTCATCGATGTGCCTGAGGTCGACCTGTGGAACGCGGAAGTCTGCTGTTAACACTTAGCCAACCGAATGGGGAGAAACGATCGAACGAAACGCTCGTTTCCGTCGACACCCGGTATAAAACGAGGAATGCGGCGACCGCTCACGGGAATGTTGTCCACGCGTCGTCGCCCGCCGCGGTAAACCCATTAAGATCGTTTAATAAGAAGCGCAAGCCGATCGATCAGCTTCGCGGGACACGAATCGACATTCCGTGGAAACTGATTACGTGAGACGCTTTTAACGAAGCTTCGCGCTCCGCCCATTCGCCGCTGTTCCGGTCTATTATCCGAGAGAAGAACCGCGCGAGCGTTCTTCGAGGAGTAATTGAAAATCGAATTGCAAATAACGACGGAACGCTCGCTTCTTCGTCATCGATCTTCGGGCGGACAGGCGGTAAATAATTCCTAGCAAACAATACCTTCAAAGAATCAAATCGACGCGTCGCGGCGCGATCATTTCGGGCAATTTCGATGGAACGCTCTCGAGGTCCGACAAAATGGCGGACAACGCCGTGCATCGGATTTTAACACTTTGCACTCCAGAAGTTTGTCACCGGAAATATTCAATACTTTCTAACGCGGTACAGACGACATTTTCTTAGATTGAATTAAGAATTAAAATTGAAAAAGAAATAAAAATCTTTGTAATCAGCCTAGGTAAGATATCCCACGACCTTCCATCGCGAAGTTGCAGGAGTTCGAAGATCCACAACTTTCCTACTGCGATTTAGCGATTTTTCAACTTCGCGGGGCAGTCTGGAAGAAGAAAACGCTCGATTCGAACCGGAAACGACAGGGCGACGTGTACTTTCGTCGACTCGTTCGAAATCTTCGCGCGGTACGACGTGATAAGACAAAGGGTTAACGAGAGTTCGATTAAACGGAGGAATTGCGGTTGTTATCGGCGCGCGGATGTAAACAGCGAGTCCGCGGCCGCGATAACGCGATCGTTAAACGTTACACCGGCACCGTACGTTCCCGTTGCATTACAGTTCGGCGTTTTAGCGACCGGTTAACCAGATCGGCGGCGGCGAATTCGTCGGCACCGTCGCCCGGTGGAAACGTTTCCGCTGATTCCGAGTTAATGGTATTTATAACGTTCGACCGACCTGTTCCCCGTTGCGGCGAAACATTGTTGTTATTTAGGAATTTACCGGCGGTAATTAGAATACAATGAAATCGACCGTTCCCGACGAGACACCGTAGCGACTCGCGCGCCGCTCATCTCTGCGGCCTGGACTTAATCGATATATAAACCTCCGGGTTCAATTGGCAGAATTTACGAGCGCGATCTCGCTCGTCGCGCGGAACGTCCTATTAAAATCGCGAACGAGATCGTTCGAGAACCACGATCGGATCGACGTCTCTATCGAGGAAGCTGCGCGATTCTTTTCGAATTTCTTGTAATTAATCGGTTTCTTTATTGAGAGTTACGATGTCCAATTATCTCAATTATTATTAAAAGAAATGCTTTCAGTTTCATTTAGAGCAAACAGAAATAGCACGCGGAATTCCGATGGAAAGGACCGGTCCGCGTTAAAGCGGCGATCGCGCGATAATTATCGACGAGGAAATTGACAGCGACGAATTAACATCGATTACACGGTTCGAGGAAACGTCAGGCCGTATCGCGGCGGCGGAGTTATCTTTGATCCACTCGTGGCTAACGGCATGCCACTCGATGCTCCTGATATTTGCGTCCATTTCTGCCCGTTAAGCCCGGGCTAACGAGATTACCCCCGTTAAACTGCCCTGGAATCCTTGATTACTCCTCCGAGACAACGATCGGAGTCAAGACGACCGATACCGCCTCCCGATCGCACGATAAAACCCCCGAAGACCGCCGATCCGAACACGTAAATACGCGAGATTCCCTTCTCCGAGGGAATGTCCTCTTTTCCGAGGACCGTTTCGCGCGTTCGACTGCCCGGCAATACCCGTGCTCGCCTCGGAATCGATCAAAGATGAATCGACGCGGAGCTTTTCCCTGTCTCCTGCTTCGATCGCGGGAAATTTGTGGATTAACACGTTAACTGCCATCACCGATGACCGGAGCTTCCAAATTACTTGAGAATAATTACAATTTGTCAGATAACTAACGCCGAATGGAAATATTTCGTAGCGTAAATTACTAGCAAAATAAGTAACTGTTCCTCTTTATCTTTGCTACGGAAGAATGAGAGACAGAAAACTCTGAAGGTTTTTGTGGCAGTCGACGTGGTAACTCCTTGCTCTATGGTTTATTTCCCAACTGTGATCGAAGCGACTTCGTCGCTAATAATCGTTGAAAATAGAGAAATAGGCATGTTCCATATCTACGTTAGTTATAGAATATAATCATTGATGACAGAAGAATAATATCTAATTATAGTTGAAAGTAATTGAGTAATATTTGTTAAATTTTACTTATCTCACGTTATTGTAAGCAAGAGGTTAACTATTCGTAGTTATACAGAATTACATGGAACACAAAATCCAAGGTTTCTATATTGACAAACAATAGAAATGTTCAACGAATTCTAGTTCCCGATCGAATAACGAATTCTTAACGACTATCTCCGACTGCGAGAACATTTCCTCTAAGAATAATGGAAGAAACGTTTAGGTTTAGATCCTCTCAAGACCAAAGAGCAATTGTCCCCTTCTAATTTCTACTTAGCAACTTCCACTTTTCGGGAGCAGAAGTTTCGCTTTTACTTTCGACTCGTTCCTCCGCAGAGTTTCGACTGTCCGGAACGGTGGGTTCCACACGAGCGCGGAATCGAGAATCGATAACGAGCAAGTTGTCGGACAAACAGCGGAGCGTAAGTTACCTGGAAGCCATCGTAAGTCCACGAGCCGAACTTCATGACGCACGTTTGCTCGTCGAACGGAAAATATTCGACGTCGATCTCGCAGGAAGACTTGTATATCGCCGGTGGCTTCCATTCGACCCTGCCTGTGTAATTTAGCGTCGCTTTCGTGGCCAGCGTCACCTCGAAATTACCGTCGGCACTGGAACAGAACGGACAAAGATCGGTTACATCGCCGATTGCGATCCGCGCGATCTACAGAGACTAACGGAGAGTCCAGTTTTCGAATCGCGAGTAGCTGATTTAGAATTAGAAGCAACGTTTCGATTGTCTTATCCGATCTCGATCTCTCCGTTAATATCCTCTCAATTAGATGGGAGTAAAAATAAAGCGGCTCGCGACGCGCCATGAAACGAGAAACGAAAAACTCGGCGATAAGTTATTCATTGGAATATTTCATTAACCAACACGGATACGATCGTATTAATATTTCTGGCGCACGTTAATGGGCAATTAAATTTTATGGGATCCACGGCGAATTAAGCCCCTTTATGACCGTATTTCGGTTGCCCTCGACGAGAGCAACAAAATTCGGGGATTATCGATGGCACCCGGCCAAACAGTTCTAAACGGTATCGCGAGCTACCAGAGTTCTCCCGAAAAAATCCTGTAAAATCGCGAACGCCGGATAGAACAGAGTAAATCATACCTTCCTTGGAAAGACCGCTTTGTTCCAAGTAAATTGCAATCGAAGTTTTTCGTTTCCCGTTCGTACGACGAAAGGTTAACCGTTAACTGGCGAAATGGGTTTCGCGGACTTCACGGCTGTTCTTTCGAATTTCAAGTGCATTCCTTTTATGTGTCGAATAAATGTTTTACCGTGCAAAGACGTCGAACACGCCTGAAATTCGCCGGAACGGTTAACGATTTCGTGGCGAATCGTGCGACTTCCGATTCCGAGGAGAAGAAAGGTAACGAAAATGTTACAGGAAGAAGAAACGACGGTCTTACTTGTTGTACAAAACTATATCGGGCCTCCATATATGGTCGGATGGCACGTGCAGCATCTCCACGCCGCCATATTCCTTGGGATCCCATTTCAACTTGTAATCGTACCATGACTGCGAACAGAACATCGGAACCTCGATTACCCGGGAACTCGGCGTTCCTCGCGCGGCGGGAAGAGAGAAGGAAGTGGAACCAATTAAAAAATTCACTTTCCCATGAAATCTCGCTGTAACAAACTCGAAGGGGAGAACCACCCCGGGCGAATTGGGAAACATCGTGGCGAAGCAAATTAAAAATTCGCGGATACGGAAGTCCGCGGAACGCGCGATGAATTTCGTTTCCCCGCCGAAAGAGGTAGAAAAAAATGCAAAAATGGAACGAAAACTACTCCGATGGGGAATGGAATGGGGCCATTTAACCGAACATTGAAAACAAAAACTAACGATAACGTAGAAGAGGGATTGGAGAAAGATCAAATTGAAATTTCACGAACGCGCTAGCTTTTGAAGGGTGCCATGAATTTTATTACGTTTATGAATGAAAAACGACGCAGAGATCCGAGAATCAACAACAGATTCTGAGGAAGTTGTGGAAAAAACAAATGTTTTACGAATTGCGCGAAGAGCAATGGATATCGTTCCGCCCTTGGAAGCGGAGGGACATTTGAAAAATACAGAAAAATGGAGAAATATTGCAATGGGAGGTGCGAGAGTCGGGAACTGAAAATTGGGAAAAAACCGAATTTTTAGGAAAATGGTGGGTATGTGTGTGAAAACTGTGACGGAATGATACGGCGCGAAAAGTTTTGATGGAAATGCACGCGGCACTGTCACCGGTCGTACGCGTGCCCCGATTATCATCTCGGCCGATTCCGCTCTTTCAGCGTTTTCCGCGGCGGATTGTTTCCGTTGGTCGGCGCGTCGCCATCGCGCCGGCATCGCGCCGCCATCGCGCCGTCACCGCGCCGGGTCCATTTTGTTCGCGGCGTTCAACGGTTTTGACGGGCCGTCGGGGATCAGATTTCCACGGGAATTCGTTCGAATCGCCGGAGGAACGACGGACCCTCGGATTAACGCGATCGTTTTGACCCAGCGACATTCGTGTAACTTCTTGTTTGGTCGTTTACCGAGTGGGTTTATTCGTAATATCCATAGCTATCGCCATGCGTAACACATAGAGTTTCGAAATGGATAAGAAAAATGAGGGAATAATACGCGAATGAATTTGATGAATGAATTAACCCTCTATAGGTCGAATTTTCGTTCACGATTGTAACAAAATCTATGTAATACAAAATTAATAAATACCCACATACGAATACGAATTAACAGTATATTCAATAGTTTCAATAATTTAGTAGTACAGCACCAATCGAGTGCAAAGGGTTAATTAGCGATCGTCGATGTTTCCGTGTAACGGGAATCTTTCGCGACTGAGGTCCACGCGCGCGGCGCGACGCGTTTATTTCGCGTGAGAAATTGCTTTTTAGCGAAGTACAACATCGAGCCACGCTAACGGGAATGTCGATCGGTTTAGAAACACAGTGTGTAATGCAATCATGCCGGTCAATTTCCTTTAATTGATTCTATTCCTGGTCCGATAAAGCGCACTCAAACGCAATCGAGGGGATTCGCGACGGTATTTGCCGACCATTAATCTATCAGGCAGCGTCACAGGTTAACGGCCATAAGTACATAACGACGGGGACCGATATCAAACGTTTCGGATGTTCGACGGAAAGCTGAGGCACACCGTCGCCCGCATATATTAAAGAAATCCGTCGTGAGACCGACAGACAGCCGAACGTTTACACGAATTCGCGCTTTCAATTTGGAAAGCAAACGGAAGCGTACCTCTCGCCGTTTCGAGGATTTATCGGGCGAAATGAAATTTCAACGGAACGGATCTACGATTCGATCGGTAAGTTGCTTTCCATTAGAATCGTAGAATTAGAAAGTTCGTTACAAGAATGTAAAAATACTCGTCGGACGCCGTTAACCCACTGCGCTTTTAGTTTTAACACTAGAACTACCGAGCATTTAACGACTAATATGCAATTCCTATAAAAATTGTAACAATAATTTTCAGTTTCTTCAGACATTCATTATAGTACTGATACGAAACTATTTATTTTCAAAATCATTTCGAATATTCAATGCTTCGAAGATATCAATAATTGCTAAACAAAATCGAAACTAGTCATTTTGAACCGGTAGTTCTACTGTTAAAATCGTGCCCAGAAAGGCAGTATTTTTTAATTCGTTAACTTATTCAGGTCACGAAAAATCATATAGAAAATCAACTAACATTATCCAAACTATTACGTCATTTTCGTTCAATGCATTACCGAATAAACAAATAAATGCGTTAGTACAGTCCGCAAAACGGACGGCTGCAGCCGTCGTTCGCGAACAATGGGCTAAACGGTTAACGTTTCCGTGTACAGGGTGTCGCAGAATTGTTCTTCCGGCAATGCGGCAAATCCAGTTCGCGCGGGGCAAGTTCAACGGCTCCGCCGCGCCGTCGGTAATTTAATTCGGGCACGAGGATTTCCACGGTTTGCGTGAAATATCGATGGAAGAAAAAAAGCCGGAAGGCGCGGGGAGCGGCGCGGGGACGGGGCAGAATGCGGAGAGAGACGGTCGCGAATCTGTCTTACGTAATCCTGCACTCGAAAGTGGGTTGCACGGTTCACCGGACTTATTTTGCGAGCCTCGAGTGGAAGCTTCTGGCCGATTTTCGCTTCTACCGACTGCGACGCGCCCGTCCGCGTGTTTATACTGGGTGTCCCCGTGATCGCGGCGATCGCGAACGGAAACGGGTCGATTCATCGCGCTACGCCGAACACAAAAATCTAGAAATTTCTCTTTCGAGAACCTTCGCGGAGCTGGGGAAGTAAATCCCGCTCGAGCGTGAACAATACCGTGGAGGTGGAATTCCGTTATAAATCGGGAATGATCGAATCGATGACGGCGTCGATGACGATATCAACGAAGAAACACGATTGTGATTCCGAAAAATAATGAATTGAATTCACGGATCAAAAAACGACTATTTTGCTGTTATCAATGTATCATCTTCAAACAAAATTTCCACTTGAAGTACGGACAATTTTGCATTTCTTCCGAATTGTCGATGGTAAAATGGTACACGAGCTTAGTGGCGAGAGTAAATACGCCAAGGGGTTAAATCGGAAGGCGTGGAAGGTGTCTTGGACGTCAGCCAGGGGTTGGAGGAGGTTGAAAAAATCAAAAGAAGGGAAAAGGCGCGTTCAGGACCGGCGTACGATGCGGGGCTCACCTGCTCGACCCACAGGTTAGTCGTCATGATTTGATTCTTCAGGTTCTGCAAAGAAACGCAATGGTTACGGGGGGAGCGTGTGCTGTTTTCGCGGGCGAAGTTAATCGCCGCGTCGGTTTCGAACACGAATACGCTTCTTCTCTCGAAGAGGATTGAACTCGTGATCGCCGGCACGCGGCTCTAATATCGACACTCACTACATCGATCAACTGGGAGAGTTTGAGCTTGATTTTAACGGTGAGGGCGTCTGTGACGTTGACCACTGGACGAACCAGCTTGTTGTAATTCGACAGGAGGTCGTCGTACAGTCGCTTGGCGTCTGGATTTCCTGAGCATCCTGCAACACACGGAGATTACCACGATTACTAATACAGCGATCCCGGACGAGCCTCCAAGTTTAATTTTCTAAACGCAGTCACACTATTTCCCAAACATCCCGGCGCCGGTCCGTCGCAATACCCGGTCGCCCTTACGCACGCACAACAAACCATTCATCCCACGATACTTTAACCTACGCTAAATAATTCTAGATACTACGCTAATTCATCTCGGCTCGATTCGTTCGCTCGACGCAACAATCGTTCACGGAAACGATAAATCACCGTTTCGACCGATTCTTCCCGGACAAAGACATCCATCGCATTCGCGCGAACATTCAGAAAAATAAATTTCTCGCGGAATCGACTATTCTATACTTCCGAACGCTTCGAGCACTAAAATATTCGTTGATTGCCAGTGGAAAGTTGAAAGCTTCCGTGAAAAATTTCAGAGGATAGTAAACTATTCGGAATCGGCGCGGAGGCGTCTCCCGCGGGATCTCGAGTTGCTCGCGACCTCGAAATCGGACAGAGCAGACGCGTCGTAGGAGGTGCACGGTTTATCCACCGATTGGCTGTGCACCCGGATGTTTATGAAAGTTAGGGACGACGAGTTCGGGAAGTATGCGAGCGAAAGTTCGGAATGACAAGCGGCTCGACTTGTCCCCGTTGCCTTCGAAATAAGGGACATTGTTTCCGAAGGATCTCGCGCAGTTCCCAACTCGAGACGGATGTCTTCTGATAAGAGGATCGCGTCCGACCGCACGCCGCTTACCATCGAGTCGTATTAAACAATACCGATGGGAGAAAGACGATCTTCGGATGCCTTCGTTACCAACTAAGCGACACGAGATCGTTAACGAACGATCGAACCTAGCCAACGAAACTTTAAGCAACCGCAACGATTACAATCTTAACCCTTTGTACTCGGAAGTTTTTCACTAGAAATATTCTAACATTTTTTGATGACACAAAATCGATATTTTTGAAAGTCGACGAGACATGTACAGTGAGGAACTAAGCTGTTTTACTTGAATATTTCTCAAAATGATGCATTATGAGAAATATAATATTAACACTAGGATTACGAGCATTTATTGTACATTTCATTCTATTATTCCTAAAAGAATTATTTAGGTAATTGGGATACATGTCAGTGGAAACTGGAGATTTGATAGTAGGTAATTGGGGTACATGTCATTGTGATCGCATCAATCAAAATCGGCGTAAACATTTACAAAATAATATTTCTAAAATCCAATATCCGTCAATTTGACGCGCTCCGTAAACCTAGTGTTAAATATCAATTTTATACTGTGTGAAATCAAGTGAGAGTCACCTCTCATCTGAGTTTTTCTACGTTTAGCGATATAAGTTGTCCTCTGTGAAAATTGCCATCGCAATTCAGTTTCCCGAAAATTAGCCGGTACGCAACGTGTTGAAAGCGAGCGGCTGATCAATCGGTATTGTCGTCCGCGCGCGTATTCGCGTATCGCGAGTCGATCGAGCGGCGCGGGAGCAATTATTACCGATTAAAGTCCAGACGGGTACGCGGCGCGGCCGGGTTATAGGGCTCGGTGATCTCTGGTCAACGTTTTTCATTAATCTCGTAATAGATTTCGCTTGGCACGGCGGCCCGGGGTTATTATTTATCGCTTCCGAACGTTATATTATCGGTGTTTTACGAGCTTCCTGGAGCGATATCAGGGTGGTTCATAATACGGTCGACCGTGTACGGGGCAACGTCGGCGACGATTTCAATTTTGAAGCGGTGCCAGGGGATCGCTGCGACACACCTTGCGCCGCGCGCGCAACGTCTCTATCGCCTCTATCGCCTCTATCGGCGACGCGTGCCCGCGGGAAGACGCGGACGCCTCGCGTCGCGTCTCTCTTTTGCGGCGTACGGCATCGATCATCGGGGACGCGACGCGTTCGCTCGGTGCCTGGACTTAACGCGTTGAACGCCGGCTAAATTTCAGCTACTAAAAACGCGAGCGTTAAACGGAAATTTCTAACTTACGGAATTAGGAGAATCGACAGACACGAACAGATCTAATGTAAGGATAAGAATAATTAGGAACAAAGTGAAAGAATTGTTCGAAGACTAGATACAAGAATAGATATCGCGGAGTTCGTTCACTGGAGAATTAAATTGAAAATAATAATGGTATACCGGCGCTCGTAAAAGTTGCAGCAAGGAAATGCATAGCGACGAGGCTGGCATTGATATTACGGCTCGCGGGAATATTAAATATTCATTAAGCGACCGGGTCCGTGCTTCTCCTTTCGTAATCATTGTTATATATTTCCATTCGCCTCGCTTACTCTTGATACCAGAACTCCGGACACGAGTAGAAACAAAAGAGGGACAGATATAAGCAGAGAATCTGCGTGTTCGATTAATGTACGCAACGGTGTGCAAGAGATCGTCGAAACCCCATGAAGATCCGCATCAAGGATCAAAACGGACGTAGAAATGGAAAATTTCTGCAACTAATTCTTATGGTATCCTTCGATTTTTTATTTTCCTTCTCAATACAAAATTTGGATGTGTGGAAGATCTAATAATTTTAGGGTACTTTCTTTGATTCATTGAAATATTTGACATTATAACTGGTGCGATAGTAGTGCCTACAGAGTTCAAAGGGTTAACCCTAATCGTACCACGTGTTTTTGTGACGAATCACACGACGATGTGACTCTGTCACTTATGAGAATAAAATTTTAAAGCCCAAATTTTAAAAGTCCAAAGAAACTATTGGAAATGCAAAGAAATACTGGAAAAATTTAAGTAATTTCAAATGTCACTTAAAGTCATAGCGGTACGATTAGAGTTAAGACAGACGCGAGAAAATTAGAGCGATCAAGGGGAGAAGGAGGAAGACTGAAAAGATTGCAGGATGAATTTCGAATCGAAGGATAATAAAGGCTCGGTTCGGTAGGAAATCGCAGCGGATCGGCGGCGTAATGATTACCCCGTCGGACAAGCAGACGGCCATCGATTCGATCGCAATCTTCCGTGAGTAATCGGTTAACTAGCCGGAAATTACGTGCGGGCCGAGCGTGCCAGCTCGGTTTTCGAGGAAGCGGATACAACGAATCGCGAAGGCCCCCGCTCGCCGAATCTTCAGGAATGATCAGGATGCTACGCGACGTTTCAATCGTTTCCCGACACCAGGAACACGGTATGCGCCGCGCGCCGCGTTGAATGATCGATCGATCCTTAACCCCCCCACCACCCGCGGCGTTCCTCTTCCACTTCGGGAAAGAAAATCCTCCGCTGATTAGAAACGAGGAATTCCAAACGGAACACGCGGCGGATCGGTTCATCTGATAAATTATTCACGATGCTTAGATAGTGCTGGTCTTATGCACTTATAGCGTGCGACGAGATGTTTATTTCGTTGATGTGCTATTAACCCTTTGAACTCTGTAGGCTCCAATATCGCACCAGTTCTGATATTAAATATTCTAACGAATCTTAAGGAAACTACCCTGAGATTATTGGATCTTCGAAATATGCAAAGTTTATACCGAGAAGGGAATCAAAGGTCTAAATGTTATAACACTGTTAATTTTCAGTAGGACTACTGTCAACATTGGTAGGAGTTGCTGACGTATCACGGAACTATGTGGAGTGCTTATTAATACCAGTTAATACCAGTTAATGGTATTTTATATGTTTTATTTTGAAAAAGACAGGAATAGATAATTGAATAAAATACGAATAAATACAAACGATAGCTCGCAGTGTACAGGTCTTTAACGAGTGTACACTTCATTATTTGATTTTATTGGGCGCACTGAGAGATTTTTCTAAATTCCACACTTAACTGGTTAACCTACGCTAAAAATTCTAGATACTACATTGACGCTCCCTAGATTAGTCCGACGAAATCTACGTTCGGAGGAATGTTCTTAGATCGAATGAAATTCAGCTGCTTATCTTTAATTTATCGACTTCCCGGCTCGCTCGACGAACTTACCGAAGAATTCCCTTGGACAGACTGTAGCGGAATCGGCTCGGATCGCTCGGACACTAGAGTTGTACGATAAACGACAAACAAGTCGAGCGAATCGCGATGTGCTAGGAGAATTATTCCCCACAGGCCACCGACGGAGATTCCGACTGATCATCTAAGTAGTATCGACCGATTTCGAGGTAAATTAGTGAAGTGCGAATGGACCGATGCGGTAAGTAGCAGTAGCCCCCGAATGTCGGCCAATCAATGTACGCCTAATCAAGTGAGTGGTATTGTCTCGTATAGGTCGGGCCAGCCCTTATTGTATATCTCGAAAAAGCAGGCACGCTGTATCCGGTGTATCGAGTCGAAAGGTAGAGCGATTCGAATCTAATCAGATAAGTAGCGCGGGTCAACGATTGTGTGTACGGCGCGAATGATCCCTGACGTTTCCGACCGGCTAGTTTACGCCCGTAACGGTAACAACTTGGAACAGAAGCGATTACCGAAGTACATTCCGTAATGCAAGTCGGACGTTCGTTCGTCCGATGCGATTCGGGAGAACGGCTGAAGACGTTTGGAAAATATGTGGTGTTAATGGTATTTTAAATATGTTTCATTTAAAAAAAAAGAATATTTTGTGAAACTAAGCCGACGAGAAATCACGCGTCCATTGAGGAACAAAGCTATTTTATTTGAACATTTCTCAAAATGATGCATTATAGGAAATGTAATATTAAATATCAAATTTTATAGTTTTACTTATGAAATCAAGTGGCGAGAGTCACTCGAGTGCAAAGGGTAACTACGATACTACGAATATTTCAACCAGATACCGAAAACTAGATGAAAATCCTTGATCATCAATGTATCAAAAAAATGATAATACCATTGTCAACAACGATGAGTTCTCGACGAATATTGAACAAGTTCCCCTGCATCTGTCAATAAACATCCGACTACCCTCAAACGAACGAGCCGACTCGGAAATTCGGAAATCTGCGAGGGAAAAGTCGAGGAAAGCTCGATCGCTGCTCGTAATCGATTCGATACGGCTC